GGCCTGTCCGCAAAGCCCGCGGGTTTCAGACCGGCTCGGTACGCGGCGCGCTTGACCGTACGTGCTTGTGGGGACTCGTGGAAACCGCCAGGTGTGAGTCTGGGCCTCCGCTTAGGCAGCAGGAGCCGCGTAGTGATAGAGCTTTTCTTCTTCCCCAAGTTCGGTTCTTTCACGTGCCTCGTTTGAGTGCAGCTGTGACAAACTCTTGGCAAAGTTGGGGGGGTGGGAAGCGGTGGCGTGTAGGTGGAATGAAGGGTGGCGCTGGGGGAAAGCCCCTTCCTCTGGCTTTGAGAGTAAAAATTCCACGTGTTACTTCTTTCGGAAATAGAGTGGAATGAATTTGTTCTTTTTTGAAGCAGTAGATATCTGTCAGGAAAACTGTTGTGAAACTGCTGATGTGCGTTCCTGATAAAGGTACTTAAGAGCCACAAGTCAGAGCAGTGACATTTCAGCCTTTGCTTTGATGTGCATTTGTATATCCCTGTTTGTATATCCCTAACTGTGCGAAGGAGCGAGAGACGGCGCTACTCACGGATCTCGACTGAGGGCCCCAGCACGCTTGCTGTGCATTTTCAGATAACATTATTTGCTACCAGTATCCGCTTCAAGCTTGCTGGTTGTCTGATAATTCAGTTAAAAGAGTGTCCAAAAAAGCTTTTCCCGAAAGGTTTGTTTATAGTCTGCTTTTCAGATTTGGTTCATTAAGCAAAATGGATTCACAAAAAGGTCGATTCAAAAGACTAGATGGAAGTCGCTGGAAAAGAGCTGTATATGAGGAATGATTGACCTCTTAGAAGAACCTATATCTGTAGTACATTAATCCAAGTTTTTTTCATGGTTTATGACTATGACCGTGGAAGCTGCCATCAGGAAATTTCATGGCATAGTCTGTGTATTCCAACTCTTAACAAACTGTCTTCCTTTGTAGCGTATGATAAACCTTGCAGAGTTGACCCCTTACATCCTGTGTTCCATCTGCAAAGGTTACTTTATTGATGCTACAACTATTACAGAATGTCTGCACACCTGTAAGTATCAGTATTGTCACTCTAAGTTTAGCTGCAAATTCAAACAAAAATCAGCTGTTGATGTTCTGACTTTACAAAAGTAGTTCCCTATTTGATGTGACTGTGTTGTGTTTATTCTGTTCCTTAGGAAAATAAAACTGTGAATGTCTTAAGCATCAGAAAATAGTGAAATCAGTCAATTATTAAGTGAGCTTAGTTTTTCAGATTAAGGGGGAAAATGATGTGTGGAAAGATAAAGCCCAAGAAAAATAAAAAACTTTTTAGTTTTTTAAAGTAAACTCTAGGGATTTGAGTATATAACTGAGAAAAGGAAGTTGAGTGGCCTTGCTTATAAAGGACTAGAGAGTTACCTAAGTTGTTGCTGTTATGAGCTTGTAAGTTCAAAAAGTCTATATGGAAATACCAGGTCAGGCAGAAATTGTTATATGCACCTATGGAGCAGTTAGTCTATAACCTGATGAATAGAAATAGATGGATAATAGCAAACTGATTTTAATGTTCTTGCCATTGTTTTTTTCTCCTCAATCCTTGTGTTGTGTGAACGGTTCTTCTGTTGCTGACTGAACTGTTTTCTCTTGAAGCCAATAAAATCCTTTCTGTGAAGCTGACTCAGCCACACCCACATTCCCACCTGAATCCAAGAATCTTGGCTTTCAGCTCGTTCCAGCCACTCAAATTACAGAGGGAAAACACTTTTTGTCCCTCTTTGGTGTTTGGGTTTTTTTTTCCTTTTATTGGGAGCTGTTTTTTTTTGTTTCATATATACACCATTTAATATTCAGTGCAGTTTGGAATTCAGGAAAATGTACAACTGTTAGTAAGGACAGCATAATGTTGCAGTCTCTTAGGAATTTCATCCTAGATGTGGAAAAGTTTAAGTTCAGGCTGATACAGAGATGATTTCATAGTAAGTTGTATGCATTTTACATTTTAGTTGTATCCATTCATTAGCTTTCGCTCCAAATTTTTAAAGTACATATAAAGTACAATTAAAATGACATAATTATAATTTTCTACTCTGGTTCTTCTTGTAAGTTGTAGGATACTTTTCAGCAAACCTTCTGCCTCTAGCAGTCAGTGTTCTGTTGTCTTAGCTCTGCTTTTGTTCTGAGTAACACAGTAACAAAATCGAACACCTACCATTGCATTGTTTGGGTTAGGATTACTCATAGGAATAATTCATAGCAATAATCCTAATTGAATATTCAGAAGTGCTGTATTCTGTACAGGCAGAGAGCTGCCATTTACTTGAGTTTGAGAGACATGCTTCATACTGTCTCTGACAAACTTTGAGAAGTCTGGGTCTAATTGCTCCTGTTGCCTTAGCAGATGTTATTGTATAGTATACATGTGATTTTTATGTAGTTTCTTTTCTTTATAGTTTGCAAAAGCTGCATAGTGAGACACTTCTACTACAGCAACAGATGTCCCAAATGCAATATTGTTGTGCATCAGACACAGCCCCTTTATAATATCAGGTAATAAGTTCATGCCATTTTTACAGGTACATGTTTTTCAAGTTTTGCTGCTTGATTTTGAATGTTTCATTTTACAGACTTGTGCTTTTTTATTTCAAATAAAGGGACAGCTACATGAAACACACTATGTTCTTTGTGTATTTAAGTTTCCTCTCAATAGTGAAGATGAGAATATTCAATTTTTTTGTTTTATCTAGTTTGCATCTCTTTCTAGGGTTTGTTACCCCCTACCCTAGGCATTTTTTTGCATTTGCTCAGTGTTGCAGGTAGTACAAGTTCTTCACTATTTGCTTAGATTTCCTTTTAAACAAAGCTTTGTTGACACAGTGTACTTGTTAATGCTAAAAATTTAATTTTAGTTTCTGCAACTGTTCATGAATTCTTGAAGAGTGGTGCTTTTAGTTTTATATAGCTTCTTCTGTTGAAGCTCTGTGGTCAGGACAGGAATATAGTCAGATAAGAAGTTGCTGCTGTATTACTTCTCTCTATGTACATCACACTTCAGCAATGTATTCAGCATCTCTCTTATGATTTAATGAAAATCATTCTGTGTTGCACCAAAGACTTAATTTTTTTTTCTCTTTAATAGACTGGACCGGCAATTGCAAGACATAGTCTATAAACTAGTTGTCAATTTGGAGGAAAGTAAGTCCCTTTCTTTATTACCATCTTGAGATTGAAATGACTAGACAGAAAAGAGTAATTCAAAGCTCTGTTTCTACTCTGAGCTCTTTTAAATAGTTTTGTAACATTTCGTTATAAATCTTAATGAGTTAGCTGTGCCAGCTGACATCTTTCTGGCTGCTAAATGCTATTATGCATAGTGGTGTGTGCTCTATCTCATTAAATGTGTCAACGTATCCAAATAAATATCCAGATAATATTTCATGGTCATGCCACATATATTTGTGTAAGTACAGTTCCATCTGAGTTCACCTGCCTCAATTGAAAAATAATTGCTAAGAGAGATACTTTCAAATGCTTTTGTATTTTCTTTACTGCCACATTTCTCGGTTTGATATTAAGTGTGTTCACTGCCACCATGTCATTTACCCTGAACTTTGCAAGCCAGTGAGTCTGCTCAGTCCATCTGGGTGAAATAATATACACATCTAGTGCATATATATGGACTATAGATGGTATAAAAATAGTCATGACAGCCAGAAGGATAATAGTTTAAGCAGCTATTTTGGTATGATTTGTGGTTAGTTTCTCTGATTTCTTCCCAGTTTTTACTAAAAAACTCTTAGCCTGAGTATCTTAAGTGTCCCAACCTTGTATGGAGTACTACTGATGGTGTAGGAACTTGGAAAGCTTTTACTGGTCTGACCATTGGCAAGTATGGATATTCTTAGCACCTGAAATAACATTCCAGTCTGTTCTTTATTGTGGGTTTTTTCAGGAGAGAAAAAACAAATGCATGACTTCTATAAAGAAAGAGGATTAGAAGTGCCTAAACCAGGTGAGCTGTAATCACTTTATAGGACACTGTTAAGGAAATATTTAGTATATCATTTATTCTGAAGGGGTTTTCTTTGAAATACTAGCTCACAACTGAAGATAAGTAGTATTGAAAATACAGGACTCTTTGTTGTCTGATTACTGTAACTTGTCATAGTTCTCCAGTTATAAAAATAGATTAAAATGTCAGCACTTAAACCCAGGTTGCTGTTGTTTTGAACAGCTTCTGTTTTGCCTGCAACCAGGAAATACATATATACATCTAAAATGTGCATTGAATTTTTTTTTTTCCCTGGCCTTTAATAAATAATATTACAAAAGAGTAAAAATAAGAATTTGGAAGTCTGTTGACAGATGTGGGATTATGACAATTATTTTTTTTGTCTTACTATCAGTTAAACAGCTCTTTGGAGATAAGCCAGGCTGAAAGGTAACAAAGGGCTGGTTCAGATACACAGTGTGAAATTTATAAAAATGTAATTTAGTAATTTTAAAAAATAGGTTTAATTACATGGGCTATTTTTCCTTACGAGCTGTTTTGCTTGTTAGCATCTTATGCTGCTTCTATTTCAAGTTGTGTTTGCATTTTGGCTGTTTGAATATTTTAGCTGTCCCACAGCCAGTTCGAGTGAGCAGAGGAAGACCTCGAAAAGTTCTGGGCTCAGTGTTCCGGATCCCCCCAGAACTTGACATCTCCATAGTTCTGGAGTTCATTGGGTGAGTTGTGGGCAAATGTAAGAGCAAGTGGCTGACATGAGGGTGCTGCTTGTGTATCTTGGACTGTTAACCAGTTCTTAGTTGTTATTGAGTGTGCATTTTCTCCAGCTCGAATGGCAGATGCTGGTTTTAATTTTCAGTGCAGTAGTGACAGCCAACTACACATAGCTAGATGATGCAGATAATTAAATTAGTCGTGTATCTTCCCATTATAATAGCTTCCTCAAAGTGTTGGTTTAAAACTTACATGTGTTAATTTTTAACAAAATAGTGTAGTCTTAGTATGCTGAATGATCAAATACCTGTTTCTTACACTTAATCCCTGTAGGTGGCAGTACAATTAATGCTGACTGTTAGGACTTGCTCATCTGACTCAGAGACTGCAGCTCAGTAACTACAACCTGGGCAGCAACAGCAGTGTTCCTGTAAATGTTATTGGGGGGTGGTGGGGGTGGTAATAACGTGGTCTAGTATTAAGTTTTTCTGACAGTTTCCCAGATTTTTATGAGTTATGCTGAGGCTTTTAGATCAAGAGTCAACTTTGGCCCTGAATTGTGAGGGGGAAATCCAAAAACACGAACACTGGAGCTATTTTCAGGCATACGGGAAGGAGAAATCGTATTGCTGTGGCCATGTGCAGATTTGTATGTTAGTGCCTGAGAAAGGGTGATTAAAAAGGGATTGAAAGCTGTAACTACTCTGATACCTCCACACAGTGCAGAACCTCAACTGTGGGAGGGAAGCAACTTAACTTCTGCAACTCTTACCTCTCTACTGAGATTGTGCCTGGTTTTGGTCTGAACAAAATGTTCAAAGAACTCCAATATGTAATGATAGCAAACTATCACATGCATGATGTGAAATCGAGCCATCTGGAACTGGGAAATTCTAGCAGCAGAGCTTACAGCCTTGTTCAGCCTCAGTCTTCTTAGACATCATGTCCTAGTCTTTTATTTTGCCCAGTGTTTCTTTTGTATCTTATTTTATTCAGAGTACAGAAAACATTTCCTCCATGGTTTAATTTTGGCCAGGTGGGTGGTGGTGTGTGGTTTTTTTGTTTGTTGGCTTTTTTAAGTGTTGCCTGTTATATGGGCTCCTTTGTTTCTTTAAATAGGTGAGAAGTGGGATTGCAGGAAGAGGTCTTCAAGCTAAATCTCTAGGGAACAATCCCTGACTGTTCCGTAAAACATCTTTGTGAATCCACATACCTGACTTAATTTCAGTGTTCGTTTTCTGTGTGCCTGACTTGCAGAAGTGCTGAATGCTCAGAAGCACAGCTGAGAGCAGTGGAAGTCCTGACTAGAACTGTAGCATCAAATGTTCTGCAGACAAATCTTAGCTGTCCCAAGTTGGAAACTGGCAGGTCGTGGTTACCTTTTAACAGTCTGTCTCAGTTTCCTCTTTTTAAACAAGGTATCATACTGCCATTCTGCTGAGTAGGGTGGTCTGGAAATGCATGTGTTGAAGAAATGAGACCAAGGAAATTGCTGCTTTTGGATTAAGAGCAGAATTGTCATAAGTGAAGCCAAAAGCCATATGTTCAAGTTATTACATAGCTGTTCAGCCTGTGACCGCTGCGTGTTGTACACTCAAAATTTAATTCAAATTTAGTTTTTTAACTGCTTTAAAGAGACTTTTTCACCCTTTAAGGAATGTGATATAAAAGGCATAATTTAATTAGTATAGGATCCCAGTGACCTGCTGCTCGGGCATACTTTTTTAACCCACCAGGTAAAAAGTGATTAAATGTATGTATAAAAACATGGGTAAAATACCTTGACTTAAAATCTCAGTAGGAAAGAGTAAATAGAATGCTCATTACCTACTTTCATATTTGGTGAGGAATATATGTGCACTTATTTTATTGTCATGGCTGTATCCCATGAAGTTAGCATCTAATTAGTTCTGGGACCTGTGGAGGGCACCGACCACTGCTGTGCTGGCCCAGCAGGTGGCAGAGGGAGCACATGGAGTGAAAGGGCGTTGGAGTGTGCTTTTATACCAACAGCTGGTCAGTGGTAATTTCACTGTACAATAGCTTTAAAAACAGGAATTAGGTTTTGTTTTCAAGGATGTCCCTTTCAGGCTGAGTGAAGGATTAGATACAGTTTGAACTCACTGTAGTAAAAGTACTTTGGTTTAGATTTCCACTGTGAAAATCTCCTGGTCACTTCTCCCTCCTGTGAGTCTCAGTAGGTATGTTTTTGTTTTTTCAAAGCAAGAGAACTGAGGATTTTTCTTAGAGGATGTCAGGCAGCTTAGACCTCAAAACTAGTAAACATGTATCTTCTTGTCTGTGAAACAAGATGACTTCTGAATCTGTATTGTATTTGTTTTTCTGGTAGTTTTATTTCAAGCTTCCATTCCAGTGTTGGCAGCAAAGCAGGTAATATTGTGTAAATACCATCTATACTATGTGAAACTGTCCACTGGTGTTTTGTTACCTATATGGAGGGAAGCACAGAATGTTCCTAACAGAAAAAGGCTTATGGGTTAACAGTGCCTACTTTACATTTTATTTTAGTGAGGTTTTTAACCTTTGATCTTCTTTTATTATTTATGTATTAAAAAGTTAATAAGTTTTCCTCTTCAACAGTCAAAAGTGCTTATTTTGGTGATGATAGATGAAGAAAACATTTTCGATAAAAAGAACTCTGGGCAGATCGGAGTTGCCCTCAGAAATTGTTACTTGGAAAGTTTGACTGTCTACATTGTGTCTTTAGAGTATATGATTAGTCTCCTGTGGCTGTTGGACTGTATCAAAGAAAATGACAGCTGGAGTGGAAAAGTCTTCCATGTTTGTTTCTTAGTAATTTTAAAATTACTTTCAGTGGCAAAATTTGTTCATAGTTTTATTTAACTCTTGATACATGTTTAGAGGTGATGATAACTCAATTACAGTAATTTGAAGTGCCACTCTTAAGGTTTTTTCTGCACAAACATTACAAATGGTCGTGCTTAATTTTTGCCCTTTACAGTGCAATTAAATACTGCATTTTTTTCACCTCTCATGTATACACTTGCTAACACAATGCAAAAATAGTTAAATGTCATTAATTTGGCTTAATTAATTGAGGAATTTATACATTGTGCTACAAGATAGAGGTGTGAAGTATAGAAAATCTGTAGTAGATCACATGCTCATACTGTGCAAATGAATGAACCTTTGTTTAAGTCAGCCAGCAGTTTGGTCAGTTGCCACTTTTGTGAGTTATTTCACCTTCCAGAGAAACACCTGCTGCTTTCCTGAGTTCCTAGATAGCATTAATCCTGTGATATAAGTATTCTGGAAGCTGGCCCAGAAAGCCTTTTTGGTGGTCAGGCAAGTTCTGTCAGCAAATTCTTAGGTACTATCTGATAAAGTTCCAAATATTAAGGAAGATCAAGTATGAATGTTTAAGCAGCATTAATATTACCACCTACTGCTATGAAAATGAATGCTATGTTGTGTTTAAAAATGCCTGTAGGCTCTGTTGGATTGTTTTTATTTCATATAGACAAACCTTAAAGTCATAAATAGCTTGAATTCATAAGACAAGTGGAGTACCAAATAAAAGGTAGGAGAAAAAAAAAAATTCAGTCTAATATTATTTCATGTGTTAAAGATTAATGAAAGGAAGACCCTGATTCAGAAAATAAGCTTGATATGTCAGACTACTAAATCAGTAAGTCACTATTATAACAAAGAGCTTGAGGGTGTTAATAACTGTTAACCTTAGCAATATTGACTGTGTTTACTCTTCTCTTGTTTTTCAGAGCTAACGAAGGCACAGGGAATTTTAAGGTGCAGATGTAATTTGAATTTTTCTCTTAATTTACTTCAGAAATTTGTATAACTTGGATGTATTTAATTTGTTTTGATTTTCCTATTCTATGCAGCCTGAACTTTTATCAGCATAGTAATAACCAACCTCGGATTAGAGTTTACTTTCAAACCTAGTATTGTGTAGCATCACAGAAAAGAATGCTTCTAAGGCTATGTAATTAAAGTTTTGGTAGGAGAATGGGAGTGAAACTGATAAAATTTCACCCAGGTGTTTCTAGCCTCTTATTCTTGCATCTGTCTCCAAAAGGTGCACTGCTATGGCTTTAACTGGAATCCTAAACAAAGGTGTAGATGTTGTCTAAAATACTGGTTTTTGAAGTAGAAGTCTAATTGTAGTGGAAAACTTGCGTAGGTTATTCAGAGGAAATGTAGCTTGAGATATAGCAATAGTATAATAAATTGCTATGTCCTGAAACATACAATGAACTAACAAACAAAGTTGTCTGAATGGCACAATATACTTCCTTAGCCAGCAGGAAGATTCTTCTTTCCATCCCTTCATTAACAGTGTTTGTTTTCTGAGTGCTGGCTGTTGCTAAACAAGATGTAGTGTTCCCAGTTACTTGCTAATGAATATGATTCTTCCAATACAGACTCTTATGGAGTTGCTTTGGTAGAAATTCATAGAGGAACTGCACATTGTTTGCTGCCTTCATGATTTCATGTGCTGTAGTTAGACATGCTCACAATGTGTCATTCCACTGTTTAGACTAAACATTTAGAAAATGGGGCTCTATTCAAGAGCAAGAAGGACATGTAGTTTAAAATTACCCAATATAGTTTGCATTTAATCTTTCATTATATTGGAATTGTAGGGCTCAGAAGATTTTACTCTTGAAGAATTTGAGAGAAAAAAATGTGTTAGTAACTTAAATATTAATTACCTTGATTGTACTGTTTTACTAATTTCCTTCATGTTTTCAGCTGAGTTGACTTCAAATTTGTGCCTGAAAATATATTGAACTGTTATATTTGATTGCAGTAATTAATACAATTTTTTAAAGTAATTACATTTTTTATGGCAGAGCTTAGGAGGTAATTTCAAACTTTAAATACAAAAATAAGAATTTTCACCAAGAGTTGAAGTATTAGTTTAGTAAAACAAAATTAATTTGTAGGAGGGTAATGTTCCTGAAAGTGTCTGCAGTCAATTTTCTTCATTTGTTTCAGCAATACATCTGCCCAGCACTTTTTCATCTTTTAACCCTTACATTTCATACTATTTTTTCACCTTCTTGCCCTTGAATCACCTCCCATCCTTCCTGTCGCACATTTGCCCTTCTTTCTGCTTTGTTTTTTTATCATGTTCATTTTGGGCCACACAAGAATGACTGTAGGGCAGTTCAACCATTTTATTAACTTACATGTTGTAATATTAATGTGTCAGACATTTGTTTCCCCTGAAACATGCCATTCCAATGCAAGTAATTTTGCCTTTTAAAAACAATACTTGCCTTGAGCATCATTACGAGTATTTGTGGTTCAGGAAAGGTATTTTGTGAGTTCTTGATTATTTTTTAATATTTTTTTACCTTTTAAGCCATAAATATTCCTGCTCACTTCAGTGTTATGAGGATTCTGAAATGAAAGGCTGCCCACCATTATTCACAGAAATTATTTCTGTGCTGCAAATAATCCTACCATCAATAGACTAAAGTGCCACTCGGCTTATGTCCATTTTTAGTCTTCTTTGTCATGTATGTAAGCTTTAAGAAATGCAACATCTTTGAAATGGTATTTTTCTGCAGCATTTTTTTTTTCTCTGTTAATGCCCTGCTTCACTCTGTCCTTCCTTTCCATCCTTATTTTCTTCTTATGCATGAATACTATGCATATTCATGCTTTTATTCCTCTTCATGACTAAGAGGTTTATTTCCCAACTTTCCAAATTCTCTTTCATATCCGCTTCTCACAAAATATCACCTGATCCATTTTTAGCATTGCTTTGTCCTCAGTTACTTCTTTATCTGGCTTATATTTCTGAACCAGATGTTTTCAACTTTTTTTTTTTTTTTAATGGGAGCTGTGGGGAGTGAACAGGTTTACAAGGTCTGTGGCCATGAACTATGATTTATACATGCAGCAGACATCAATACAGCATCATCATGGTTCCCTAGATCAGGCCTGACTGTCATTTCTGGCTCTTGCACATGAATAAATCAAACTATTGTTCCAAAACCACAGTTATCATGGATGCATATTTAAATTTATGATTGAATTCAAGGGTAGCCCATGACCCTCTGACCCTTCTTTGAAATGGAAATGATATAATGAACCCGCATAGTAAATCACAGCTGTTCAGGAGTTAACATAAAAATCCAATTAATTGACACAAAAGGTAATCCATTTATCAGGCTGAATGCAGTTATCTGCTCTGCCTTTGTGCCTCTTCACTTAGCTGCCCATATCACCAGTCAACTGTTTAAAATTTTATCTGTAGAAGAAAATCCCATTAAAATGTTTAAGGCTAGCATAAAAAATGTCCTGTCATTGCAGTTCTTGCTGTGAAAGTATTTAGAAATGATACAAAAACATTTCAGTCAATTCTTGCTCTTGTGTTCTGCGTACTAGTATATTTTAATTGATTCTAGAATTTCATGAACTATTACGTTTATTCCAGCCCATGCCATAATACTTCTAAAATGCTAAAAGACTTAAGCTTCTTGCATTATAAAATGACATGGTTTAATTATCTAAATCATATTTGGTACACAAATCTGATTTGGGGAAAATAATGAAACTAGGAAATAGTTCATGTGCTTCTGAAGAGTAAATGCTTGTGAGGGGAGGAGTTCTTAAAATGTTGCTAATGCAGATTTCTATGCAAAATTAATAGCAAATATAATTCTCTAGTACTTCAGTAGTAAAATAGGACTGAT